AGCGGGAAGCTGTCAGTCTGGATGAGATGTATCATGAGGGTAAGCCAAGCTGTCCACTTATATCACTTAGGTTTATCGAAGTAAATCACTAACCGTATTCTTACAGGCGAGGGTCATTTCGACGATGGTAATAAACCTTCTGGCACTGCCACTCCAGTCGAAGCCGGAGACGCGAAAGCTGCAAAGAAACGAAAAGGAGGGAGTAAGAAGGCTAAGACGACAAAGCAACGACTTGCCATTGCTGATGGTGAGATTGATATTTAATCCGTTGTCATGAATAATCGCTTGATATATGAAAATGGGAATAGCACTTCTTGAAACAGAAGTTTAGGGCCGAGGGCCTTGTACAAAATAAGAGGAGTGATACGGCGTTACGTTGGCATCGATTTTACGTGCAGGGCAGGCTCTCGGCGGGACGAATACATACAGAGATTCATAGAGCTTTAGTTAATCGTCATTCTTGCAAGGAGAGAAGGGGGAGGTGGTCTAAAAGTCGTCGTATTAGGAGGTTAGACTTTGCAACCCGGAATACTCTTCCGAACATATCTTTCTTTTTTTTTCTCTGTGGACAGAAGCCCATTGTATCGTTGTAGGATTACGATTAGAAGGGCAGACCTCGTGGAATCTACCATCGCGCACGCACGCCTGCTTATTAAGGTGACGAGCTAAAATGGCAATAATAAATTCGATACTAGAAGCTTTATGTCCAGTCTATTGCTTAAGTGAAATGTGTAGTAATGAGTTTATATTTACTAAAATCATGATAGGGGGGTTAACTGTGCGAGTTGATAAGTACCTACCAGAATGTTAGGCTCAAGTTAATGTCTCTCATAGACCTTTAATCTACAAGAGACATCCTATACTAGACTCGACTAGCGTAGATTATTATATTCCATGCTAAGCATTTGCCCCTTTTAAAAAGAAAAAGAAACGTCCTCTCGTCTCATCTCGTCCTTACACGCGTCTTTTCTTTGTTTCTTTTTCTAACTATTATCAACTTTCCCCTTCTTCTCGTTCTCTTCCTTTTATTCATCCTCATACTCCGATGATTAGGTAACCAGCGAGGGCTATCATTTCCTTTGCGTCTTCTGGAATGAAGGGCGTAGCAGCCTGTAGTCAGGGTGGAGATGTCTTGGGTGGGGATTTCTTTGGGGATGCTTTTTAGGTAGGCATTCAAAAGGTCAGTGGTTGTGGGATATCGTAGAAAATCGATTGTAAAGGAAGTACCCCTTGATGGTTATCATACGTAAAGCGAATGTCAGAAGTAACAGCGAAGCTGCTGTAGCCGTATAGTAATATGAGTTTATTAATGCTTAACTAATTTTCAACTCAACTCTCTTTCGAGGCGCGTAGCACACTTTATATTAGGTACACATTTATCTCGTGGGGATCTATACCTAGCTTATGCTAATACCACTTATACTTTGACAGGTGATGCGCTTAACATTAGCTTTATCTCTAAATGGGTGTTCTCGAGTCATAATAGGAGCCTGTTTATTAAATATTTCATTGTCTAGACTCTAACAACGTAAACTTTTATATTAATTTCATACGTCTTGCGTATAACTACAGTTTTCTAATAGATAATCCACTCTGGTTATGCCTCTAGGACGAGCTTTCCTCCTTTCTTTCCATGCTGAGGCCTTTCAGCCACTTAGTCAGTTTAGCTTGGTATTTTTCCGAGCGACCTATATTTGGAACACATCCGAGGAACACCTTTGGGTCAGGCCGTAATTCAGGGGCTGATCTGTACCATAATGTCTTGGCTATCCGACGAAAGTGAGAGGAGTTATGTAAAGCCAGCTCAAATGCCGAATACTTTTCACTGTTGCAATTGCAAGCTGAATATTTTGTTGGCAAGAATGGATCGGCGCCGTGTTCTAGGAGTATAGATGTAGTCCAAGGGACATTGTAGAGGAGTGGATCGTTCAACGTATTGACCAGAAGTGTTTCCCCATCTATCAATATGGAATTTATATCTACATTTTCCATGCCGTATAAGAGTTTCTCAATGATTGTTAGGGGATAGTTTAAGTTAACAGCATCACTTAGCCAGTGAGTGTATTGCTGCCAAAGACGGGGTTCAACAAGGTCGAGCAGGTACCCAACAAAACTAGAATCGGTTCCTAATTTAATGGCGTTTGTGATTAGATCTGGTATCCTCTCAGTCGGAAGGCCCATGTCTAATATTGCGACAGCCCACCCGTTACTTAGAAGGTTTTTATGATATAAACAATGTAACGCAGCTTGGTATATTTCCTTAGCACTATGTAACTTAGCACCGCCGCTGATGAGGATCTTCAGATGGTCAGGGTGAGCAAATTGCCCCAGATAGGCCGAGTCGGTGACCAATTCTTTTAGAATGTCATCAAGATGACTGCGGTTTTGTATGGACTTGACAGCCCAGGTTACAAGTCCTTGCATCAAGCGAATATATCCTGAATGGAATATCCACGAAAGGAATGAACGCCCATCGGACAAAGGGAGGTCCATTCTGACACCGCTATTCATCAATATTCCCACCTTCTGGTTGAAAAATACTATACTGAGATACTCCTCCGCCATGAAATCGAAGATATATTCTTGTCCCAATGGCTCCTCTCCATACTTTTCAGCTATCATAGCTAAGACACAGGACATCATTTTCGGGGTTCCTACTATGATTGCTTCTTCTAATGGGGTGTGTCCTTCAATATAGGGCTCGTGTAGGTCTGCACCAGCATCGATGAGTCTTTGAAGCAGAGACCATTGCATTGAATCCTTGAACATTACCCCCTTCTGAAATCTAGTGTGCATAACGGCGTGAATAGGATATATGACGTCCTCCTGCGGGTCGTCTGGCTTAATCTTTGAGCCAGCATCAAGTAAAATATTTGCGTGTCGAAGTCTTTCCTCATAAAGTGCCGATGTGAGCGGAAGACTACCATCAACTTCGTTGTTGACGTCGGCTCCCAGGTTTATCAAAGTCTCGAGCATTTCGGTATTATCATCCGATGTGAGTGCGTATTTTTGTGCAAAATGCAGGGGGGTATAACCTCGGTAGTCTTTTATATCAACGGATATCCCCAAATCTTGTACAAGATATTCTACTACTTTGACCATGCCTTTACAAGCCGCATAGTGTAGGGCTGACCTAATATAGGGCGGTGCATCCATGGCAAACAATGTATTGGCGCCATGAGATAATAGGAGCAGAGCAATATCTTCCATACCGTTCAAGATGGAAACAAGTAATGTTGGACATCCTCTTATCATCATACGTTCCCATGAACGATGATCTCTTATAGGAAAATGACCTATGTATAAACCGTTTCCCCATCTATTTAAAATTTCCTCAGATGTTTCTTGGAGAGGTGTCCCACGGTCCAACAACCATGTAATCATCTCGCGGCGACGGTTTTCACAAGCCAACAAGAGTAAGTAATGCCAGGATTCCGGCTCTATACGTAATGAGGTTGCAGCATTTATGGTATCAAAATTCCCGTGCTTTACCGCATAATTAAAAAGATTGCCGTTATTATATTTCCTGTTGTACATGTAGAGGATGCGATTAATGACTTTATATAACCACAGATTCGCAAGCGATAAGCTTGCCAGATCCTTTTGACGTAGTATAGTCCCCGACCTGACTTCCGCCGTTGCGATCATCTGCAGAAGCTCAACTGGAAGATCCATAAGCTTTGCCATGGCGATGAATTATTATGGTGACTGGCTTTAGGTAATTGATATGTTGAAGATGAGTAAATATTTGCGAGGCGTTGGCAGATATATAGAAAACTAGATGATGATGATGATGATGATGATGATGATGATGATGATGATGTTTACGTCTATTATGGGCTACCTAGGTAGATATATAGAAACTAGAGGTTGGCTGTATAGGGGAAAACTGATAGGATGAGAATGGAATTGTGTAATTCTGTTCTGTAGAAACGTTTTAATATCTAAGTACCCGAAAAAAGGATTGAATGGGTCTATATATTCTTACAGAGTAATTGTTTTGTTGTTGTATGCTATTGATGGGGTTAATTGAACATTCCCTTTGTATGTTGATTCTATGGTCCAATCCGAATGTTTCGTAAACTTGGAAGCGTCAATACGTAGATAGAAAGAGATTAAAAAAATGTTCAACCCCAAAAGTAAAATAAAAATTTACAAAAATGGAGAGAATGCACAGCTGCATTGCTAATGTAACTTCAAAAAATGACCACCCTGGGGCTCGAACCCAGAATCTCCTGATAACTGTTCAAACATGGTTTATCATGCTTAATCGTAGTCAGACGCCTTACCATTGGGCCAAGCGGCCTTTAGTGCTTGTTGGAATTTTGCTTGCCAATGGCATATATATAGTAATTATTAGTGTGAGGGGAAATCTCATAGAAATAGTGCGTCTTAACATAAACTCCTCAACTGCGAAAGTGCTACACAGTAAACCTCCTTGAATATAAGTAATTTGATTGGTTTAAATCTCCCATAATATCCGTTGATTGGGTATACCCCTGAAAAAGGTTTACTGTGTAGCACTTTCGCAGGATTGAGTATCAACATAAGATTTTTAGGAGTCGTAATATACTGTGATATTTCGTTAGCTACCTGCTCTTTATATAATAATAATATTGGTGACAGTAGGTAGTAACCGTAGCTCATCATCTACATATATACAATATCATACTAACCTAGATCACATTTGCATATCTAAAGGCATAATTTCTTTTTTTAAAATTCATCTAATCTATTCCTATGTGCGAAATCGCTGCGCATATCCGCGCTGGCTCTCCGCGGTCCCTGAAAGCCCCTTTTGAAAGCAAAGCTTTTTAATTCAAGGCTGCTGCGACTCTATGCCTCGTTTGCCCAATCTATAGACCTCCGAGCCGCGACCTTGTATGTACGTATGCGCTCTCCTTTTCCGTACCATCTTTATAGTACCATCATCACTCGTAAACGAGAGCATCTCTGCGTAATTAACCGGGCTAAATGGGAATCATGGAAAATGGTACATCTTAAACTGCACCGGCAGCCAACATCTTCTTACGCAGGTAGTTCTTGTATTCTCCTATTGAACCATCCCACGGCTTGATTGTTCGGTTTTCGCAAACCAAGATTTGCTTTGCAATCTTGTCGAGCAATCTATTATACGCATTAGAAATTGTTAATATGCATTATGATCAAGGGCGATTCTTACCTGAAGTCGTGAGAAACGACAATTACACCACCGCTATATGCCTCAATAGCGTCTGCTAAAGCGTCAATGGAGGGAATATCCAGACCGTTTGTAGGCTCGTCAAGGAGAAGCATGTTTGGCGAATCAATAGCAAGCAGAGCGAAGACGATTCGGCTCTTTTGGCCTTCGGATAGCGTGCCCATCAGCGCAGTTTGAACGGGACCAGAGACTCCGTATCTACCAAGGCATTGTCTCCAGAATTGGTAGTCCTGTGATTTATCACGGTACCTATCACGGACAAAGTCTAGAGCACTCTTGGTTAAGTCGAGCTGCTCAGCGCTGTGTTGAGAGTACAAGCCGAGCTTCAGATGAGTGTGGCGACGGACGGATCCAGAGGTCGGGGAGAGCTTTCCGGTCATTAGACGTAGTAGTGTACTCTTTCCAACACCGTTGGGACCGACGAGGGCCGTTCGAGAGTCCATATCGAAACCGAGATCGATGTTGCGGTACAAGTCGTCCTTGGCTTCACCCGAGTACGAAAATGTGACATCGTCAAATGACAATACAGGAGGGGGTAACTTGTCAACATCTGTGAATCTGAATTTGAATTCCCTCTCTTCCTTGACTTCCTCGATGAGGCCATCGGCAATCATCTTGTCGAGAATCTTCTGTCGAGACTTAGCCTGTCGCACTAAGTTGGCGTAGGTACCTGCGCTGGCGATGAACTCCTTGATGTGCTTGATCTCCTCTTGCTGCTTCTTGTAGGCCGTCATCTGATTGGTCTCTTGTTCCTTGCGGGTCTTGACGTAAGAGTCAAAGTTACCACCGTAGTACATAAGCTGTTGCTTTCGCATGTCAATCACGGTAGTACACACTCCATTCAGGAAATCCTGAGAGTGAGAGACGAGAATCAGTGTACGTTCCCACTTCTTCAGATATTCCTCAAGCCACACGCAAGCTTCAAGGTCCAAATGCGCCGTTGGGTCATCAAGAAGTAACAAGGTAGGCTTAACAAAGAGCGCCTTAGCAAGGGCAACACGCATACGCCAACCACCAGACATGTCCTTCGTCTTCTTGTGAATGGTATCCTTGTTAAAACCAAGACCCGTTAGGATAAGGGAGGCTCGGGTGGCGAAGGTGGAGGGATCCATCTTATCCATGTGCTATTATATTCTGTTAGCATGTATTAATTGAGTTGTATAAGGAGTATGCATACCTCGTAGATATCCATCAGCACAGGACTATCAGGGCCCTCGTCCTCGAGTAGCTGCTCTGCTAATTTATCTAGACGATCCATCTCCTTTTCAGCTTCCTTGAGAACCCATTCGAGGGCACCTAGGTCAGAGGGCGGTGCACCCTCATTGAGGAGGTAAATGTCGACATGATCAGGAATGGGGTACTCTCGCGCAGCAATGGCTTTAAGTAGGGTACTCTTTCCGCAACCGTTCTCGCCCAGTAATCCATATCGGCGTCCGAATGAGAGTTCAAGGTTGGTTTCGTTAAGGAGGACACGACCGTGGAAGGTTAAACTGGCACTGATAATCTTCACATCTCGGCTGGTGACCACGGATGCCAGGACACCAGTGGTGATACGATCGGAGAGACCATGCTTGTCCTTTTGGTTAGAAAGTGCCTTGACCTTCTCCATCTTGGCATCATCGGTCGCGGGAACATCGTCGAGATCAGGAGGGTCATCGCCGGCGACGGAACCTGCAGCACTGGTGCTTTGGGATGCAGCCTTAGAGCCGGCCTTAGATCTAGAGACAAGAGTCTTCTTCTCACCCTTGCCATCGGCAGCCTTCTTAGCGAGTCTCTTTTCCTTGGATGCGGAAACCATCTTGAATATCAGATTTTGTTATTCTACTCCTTTTTTTTTGTCTATTGCCGACCGTAGGAAGGAGATGCTGATGTCGATCTGATACTGATAATAGATGCAGATGACGATAGAGATGACGATAAGTAAAAGCGATTGAAGAAATCTACCCCGCTTAGGCTTATTTTTATTTTATTTCCTTGATAATGACCAAAGAGACACAGGTCGTTAAATATGATCACAAGTAAATGTGACCGATTAAACGAGAGAGTTGAATAAGTAGGCTTTTTTTTTTATCAAGTGAGGAAAAATGGCCTATAACCTTGGAGAACAATAAGAAAAAAAAAAGATTTATCCTCCGTAATCTTTGTGTTCGTAGAAACAACGGACCTTGTGCAAGTCTTGGTTGGTGTTATCTTTCTCTTTCAGCCTGTGCGCTGTTGTGTGTGGCTTATTGGGTTGGCAGGTTAGGTGGCATTGTGGGGGCATTATAGTGGAGCTGACAAATTTTCGCCCTTTCACAAGGAACATGGTAAAAATCTGAACAATAGCATTCGTTGATTCCGTGACCTAACAACCTATGTCCATACATGTATGTATACACGTGTAGATGCCTGAGGATACAGTGTACTTCCTGCTACCGCCACAAGTTGTTAATGGTGGTGGGGGCGGGGTCCAACTTGCACCGCTTTCGTCTTACTAAATTCGCTGACGTCAGTGTTAGCAATTTGAAGATATTAAGTACCTGAAGTACCTAATGAATTATTCATTGTACCGATATGCTCATATCCATAATATTACCTACGGGTTATATAGAAGGTATCAATAGAACGATTATCAGTCTTGTCGCGTTACCCCTGAATCAGAATCGCGATTCAAATGGAGACATAAACAACCCTTCGGATTTTAAAAAGACGAAATACGCCTAGGTTTCAAGCATAGCATATTGAGTATGCTTTGAATTCAAGACAACTCTAACCTAGGTATAATTGCTAGTATAAGAAAACTATTATTCGGGGTATCTGAGCAACCTCTACCTAATCCCTTTTATCGCTCACTTCTAAAGTTTCGACCGCAATCTCCTCGTCATTAGCCAACTTGGCACTACCACTGTAAAACACTTTAACATCCCCAAAGATTTCGTCAATCTCTTCCAACGATTTTCCTAAAAGCTGTTAGCTGGTAAAGTATTCGTTGACACCGAGGGATACATACCTCTTGTCTCGGGATACGCAAAGGCAAACACCAGAGCGCAAAGTGCATTGGTGAGGATGAATAGGATCTATCACCAAGTCAGTAATAGTAGTTACATTTTGAGGAATGATAGTAATAATACATAGTATTTCCATCCAACCGCTGCGAGTGCGATGGGCGAGCACTGCGTAATAACTAGACTGATAGAATAGTGAATGACCTGAACCAAAGCATTCGCCTTAGCTCGTAGCTCGGTAGTGAAAACCTCGGGACTGTAAGAGAGATCATTAGCATGAACGGATTGCTAAACTAAAACTAGAAAGATAGGACTCACGGAATGATCCAAGTCATCGGACCAAGGAGAGCCGAATAGTTTGCGGAAACAGCAAAGATGCAAGCAATGAGACCCCTTTGCGCCGAAACATTTGTGGGGAAACCGGGACGTGCCGGGTAGACTGCGGCGAGGATAGTAATTATCAAATAGCAGAGGGAGAGGAGAGCAGAGCTCGTTATCAATATCTTCTTTCGGCCGATTCGATCTACAAAGAAGAGAGACGCAAGGCAAGCCACGGGCGCGACAGTTCCGTAAAGACCACTAACAAGAAGCTGTTCGTTCTGGTCAAACTGAAGAGTCGCGTATATTGCCGTTTGGTAGTACTGGACAAATGATATGCCCGATAACATAGCAGCTGCCCATACGAACGATCCTACGAAAAGGCGCTTTCGGAATGCCGGAGTCTTCAAAAGGTCCGCCCACGATAGGCGACCCTGGGCCTTCTTCTCCTCTTCGATGTTTACTTGGATAATAGTGAATTCGGCGTCAACCCACGTATCGTTAGACCCGTCGTAGTGGTAGTCGCGGAAAGCTTGCTTTGCTTCTTCATGGCGACCCTTCAGGCACAGCCATCTTGGGGATTCACCGATAAATAAAACTCCGAGACCAAGTAGAAGAGCTGGGACGCCTTGGATAGCAAATCCTAGTCTCCATTGGTTAGGATTGTTCCATTTACCTTCGCCAACTCCGGTCCACAACGCGACGAAAAATCCCCAGGCAACCACTTAACTCCTGTTAGCAAAATTACAATACTTGTTTCCCAGGATTCTGCGTCTTACTCATCTGATTCGCTGCTGTGATCTTTGCGCGTTCGTGTGTCTGTCGATCACTAAGTCAGTGCGCCCCTGAGACATCCCCTGTGATATATGTACCTACCTTTGCAATTTCAGCACCAAAAACGGGAGCCACGCCTGTAACTGTTCCAACAGCAAACCCAACTAAGAGGCGGCCCATAATAACTGGATCTCAAGAGATTAGTATCATTCCACATCTTTTCAGTTTTCTTTATACTCACGCATAGCGACGTGGGCAGCTCCGGCCATGAGCGCCGAACCGATCACACCCCAGATGCAACCGAACGCTATGGCCTTGCGGCGGCCAAACCTGTCGCTGGTATAGCCAACCAAAGCACTGCCAAGCCATGCTGTAGCCACATGTTAGTATAAGAGAAACACAAAGAAGACACTGATGTGAATCACCTCCGGCTTGATAAACCGAGACGATTGCTCCACGGGTGGCAGCATCGGGCTGCCCGAAGTAAACCAGGAAGGACTTCAGTGCCAAACTCGGCGTAATGATTCCCGAGTCGCTTGAGTTCCGTTAGCATTGAGCGGATAAAGCTTCATCGCGAGCACAGTTACTTACTAGCCATAGAGAAAGCCACCTATTCCGAGGAATAAGGAAGTCAGAAATGGCTTGCTTAGTAGCGGCTGATTCTTCATAGTTGCTACGGAGCAAGATAAGGAATATGGAAGGTACACTGAGGTCCTTTGGTCAGATTAGAGGACTCACATGGGTTTAAGTATCACCGCATCAACTTGAGGATAGGACATCTGGACTTTGACGAAATCCGGGGTTGGTATCCGACTACTTGGTTCATGGGATCCGGGGATGGGTCCGCCAAGGGTCCAGGGGCGGGGTATACGAATCAAGTTGTTCTATAGCGTAGACTACCTCTATTAAGTTGCAGTTACTCAGCTTTAAGCCTCTAACCTGGTTGTCTCTCGTTTCGAGTTGCCTCTCTAGTCTTTCTCATCTGAGTCAATATTACCAAACTGTTTGCATGGAGAGGCGGCTTTGGGGGTTATTTTACAAGCTTTTCGCCCTCTTACTTAGGACAAATATTAACTAAGACTTGTCTTCATACCCACCTTTGAGTATTCTCATAAGGTAAATAAGCGCGAGTCTCTATTGTGATGCGTGCCTATCAAATAGGATAGATTACTAAACCAAATACAGCTCCTATTAGCGAGGGTCTAGTCTTCATCTCCGCAAAATACATGGACGTCAAATTTGGGGGAATATCCACATAGGCTTCCCCGCCAAGATCGGCAGTTTGGATAGAGACAACTAGCGCAGGAGGATTCTCGGTAACCCATATTGGTATTTCTGCGAGGGGCACCCTCTGCAGATTAACTCATTTCTTTCTACGACGAGAGCAGCAAATTCGAAGGCTGTGGGTAGTTCTTGAGCCTCGACGCCAAAATGTACGCAACAATTCTTGCTAGTATAGGCTTTGCTGTGTCCCTTTCTTACTTGAGCCTAATATTCCCGAGAGTAAGTAGCTTATCACGAAAAGTTTCAAGGGGATATTTAACTAACATAATTCGAATAGTTGCTGCAAGAATGGAAGGTTTATGCGCATCGCAAAGAGCTTCCGCCAGGCCCGAAGGTCATCAAATCTGGCCTTCGAAAGCCATGGCTGTGGTTTCGGGAACTAAATAAAGAGTATGGTGATGTAGTCTACCTTCAGATGGGACCAACACCCACCATCATACTTGGTTCAGCTCAGGCAGCATGGGACCTCTTAGAGAAACGGGGAGCAAAGTATTCTTCCCGACCCCGCTTCATTATGGGTGGTGAACTTCTGTCAGGGGGGATGAGAGGTCTTATGGCGCCATATGGATCTTTCTGGCGGCGCTGGCGGAAACTGTTACATAGCGGGTTTATGAATCGTCAAAGTTTAACGTATCGACCTATCCAGAGCTTAGAGTCTAAAGTTCTTATGCACGACTTGCTCCAAACCCCTAAGGCCTTCCGAAAGCATCTCGAGCGTTATGCTGCTTCCGTTATTGTTATGGTCACATACGGACGAAGAGTCGAAGATGTTGATACCGATATTGTTGTGCGGCGCAATGGTGAGTCAATGGACCGCCTAACACAAGTCAAGTAGGTTTCCAGTCCGTTATTTCGTACTATTACTTACAGTTTACCTACAGTATCCCCGGTAAATATAAGGTAGAGCGATACCCAGCTCTTAAGTACATACCTGGCATATTTGCACCATGGAAGGCCCAGGTCCTTAAGCAACGGCAAAAAGACATCCAACTATACACGGAACTTATGGCCGAAGTTAAAGATAGGAATGACAAAGGTACTTTGCCTACATGTTTTGCCAAGCACTTGTTAGAGGAACAAGAGAACCTTGGAATGTCGGATCTGGAAGTTGCATACGCTGCAGGCTCTCCATTTGGTGCGGGAGTAGAGACAGTAAGTCCACCATGTTCCCCTAAACGTCGTGAAAGGTACTATGCTCATGTAGGATGATGTAGTCTGCAGGTTCACTCGCTAGCTTTCTCCTCGCTTGTGTCAAGTTCAGTCCGCAGTTTATTCCTAGGGCACGAGAGGAACTAGATAGGGTAGTAGGAAATAGCAGGCTTCCAACATTCGAAGACTTACCCCAACTACCGTACGTCAGAGCAGTTGCTTCTGAGACGCTACGATGGAGACCAGTAGCTGTACTAGGAGGTACTCCACATGCTAGTACCGCTGATGATGTGTATAAGGGAATGTTTATTCCCAAGGGAAGCACAATAATTGCACCCCTATGGAGTAGTAAGTGTGCTGGGGATTCCATTGCATATAATCACATTAATACTAAGACTGGATTCTTAGTTCACTTAAACGAATCCGATTTCCCCGAGCCAAACGAATTTCAACCCGAACGATTTATGGAAGAGCGTGAGTATCCTGGCACACTTGGTCATAGTGCATTTGGTTGGGGAAGAAGAATCTGTCCTGGTATGCACTTAGGCTCTGCGTCTGTGGAACTCAATATCGCGCGAATACTATGGGCTTTTGAAGTTAGTCCCGCAAAAGATGCAAACGGAGACGACATCGATGTGGACATGTAAGCCACTTCTATTCACGATATTTCCATAAAATACTCATAACTTTTTAGATTCGCCTTCTCTGATGGTTTCAATTCGAGTCCGCTCCCGTTCCCTTGTTTAATACAACCACGATCACACATCCATGCGAAGATTATTGAGCAAGAGTTTCAAGACGCCGCAGAGTCCCTGAAAGCATATACTGCGGTTAACAGCAAGGTATCTTGACGAAGCATGGGTCATCCACCTCTCATCATGCTTCGGGAGGAGTCCAGGAAATAGGAATATAATTGGTTATAATGTTTTAGGTACCTACTCTTAGACCATACGAGGCGTATCTACTAAGCGCGGGTTTTGACGACTGGATAGGCATGAATGGTATACCAAACCCTAAGCTTGTGGAGTACCCAGACCAATTGAATCTTATGCTCATATTTAAACTTAGCAAAACATAAGAAACTCGAGTATTTTGATATTCTCATTACTTTGTCATGACTCGTATCTCATATATAAAGCTTCATATGAATAAGTATATGAAAAGTTGATGTGTAATTAATATGCGGTTCTGATGGGAATTGAAATGCTCTAACAATTTGACATTTAGAGCAACATCCAACAAAACCACAATTAAGTATATCCATCTTACCTGAGCTCATATAGCACGAATATTTATAAGGCAAATACGGGGTTTGAGGATCAAAGGATTATGAGTGAGATTATACTCATACCCACAACTACGGGTAATCGGCGAACAGGGATCTAAAAAAAAAAATGCTTGAGTGAAGCTGTTGAAGTGATGGGGCGTAAACGATCTATCATTTAGTACCAGCTAACTCCAAGGCTGGTCATTGGCTATATGCTTACGTAGGGTTGCATATGAAAATGTGACATCCGGTTTCTATTCGGTCAGGCTTTGAGTGCCCGCATCATGTCACCCAATTAATAAACTAAATCGGACTTAAGGTCTCAAGAGACTTCTCATGCCCGCTATAGATATATTAATATAAGAAGCAAATACTAAGTCGAACCTCTATTTGGCTACAAATATATAGATGTTATCCATATTTGTATATATTCGTTCGTTTATAGCTTTGCTAGAGTTATATTCTACGGCGATATGACCCGTCTTTTAAGAACGTAGCCAAGGGCGGGAGGGCCGCCCACTGCCAAGCTTCCCCCTTCCAGAATAAGACGCGATTGCGCCTTTGCTGGGACGACCCAAGCTTTCACAAGCTTATGGTAGCATTCAAACTTATATATCCTTGTCCGACCCAAAACTCAGCTTCGCTAGATTTGGACTTGATATTAACTTATGCTGACACCATAAAGAATAATTTGACGAATCATATTCTAACGGAAGTCTTCTAGAAATTCTATATCGTATCTTACGTAAGAGTTGATCGGCAATTTGACTGGGGGTTCCACAACCTTGACTTCACTCGTCCATTACCCCTGACGGTTTTGAAGGGTTCCCTCATGTCTTTTCGTTTTTCTTTCGACCCCTCGGGCCCCGGGCGCTCGATGCTGTCTGAACTGTCTGTTCTCAATTTCTTCTATAGTTCGGTCCATCGAGCGTACCTTAAGGATACGACGTATCAAATCTCTATTCTGCCTCTATCTTATACATATCTTATACATATCAACCAAATCTAAAGCTTGGACTTCAGCGGGCCGTTTCCATCCCCATCCGAGATAGGTTTCACAATTGCTGGCGACAGCAATCGGCTCTATCCCTTGGGGTGGGAGCAACGCATACAATATGCGCTCTCTTACGAACTTGCTGATTATTGCGTGCGCTGCCCCACCACCTACATTAGCACGGGATGACTCTCGTCCCAAGGAAAGTAAGTATATTTTCACTATAGTCGTCTTTCGGGGTAGCATCCAGATTTATTGGTTCGCTTAGAGGTCGCCGGGAGATCATATCCTCCCGCTACTCTTGAAATTATATAATACCCTCGTCTAAACTACCTGTTACCTAAGTTAACATGAATCGGAATAGATGTCGTCCTCGCAGATTGTACGGGGTCACAGAACTCAAGTCAATTATCATCTGAAGTCTCATACTTCAATCATCCTCCAAATGATCAGCCAAGTGACATCGCGCCCGTAACTGACGGGCAACACCGCGATTGGGCAAACACGACAACATCGGCATATTTTACCGATACTGGGACGACATTCAAAGCTATACTAGGAGAGCGTGGCAACGTAGGCGACTACGCGGGAATAGGAAATAACGGTTACGCAAACTTCACGTGTTGGCAAATGGGGTCAACGTACTTGTATAGTCATGACGGCAAAAATTGTTTTGCGGAATACGAGTGCAATCACCTGAGTGAGCTTATTTTCTTTACTTGATGCGTTTCATTATATATACCCTCTTTTCATGCTTCGAGAAACATAATAGCTAGCTACTTTTGAGCGTGCTAGTTATCCTTAGTGGGTTCAGATAGCATAATCTGGTAAACGTCTGTGCCCCTTTACGTGTCGTACTAACCTGGCGACGTTTAGCATCCCCAATTCCTATTCCCTCAGCCTCACCTCCCGCAGCTACAATATCATCAACAGCAACATCGACTCCAGTAGCTAGCTCAGGCCTATCAGTAGGCGCTATAGTTGGTCTCAGTATCGGAGTAGCTGCTGGAGCAATACTAATCGCAGCCGTGGCTGCTTTCTTAATATGGCGACATCGACGCTTAAAGAAACAAAGGGAAGCCGCTGCTGGCCCCCAAGATCCAAGGCTGGAGGCCGGTCAACCCGGAACACCAAAGGGGCCGCCACTGACGAATACAATATGGCAGGGGCCAGGAGCGAGGGAATTGGAAACACCACAAGTTTACCATGAGCTACATAATATTAATCGCCCCGTCGAGATTCATAGTGCCCTTGTAAGAAGCGAGTTGGATGGATCTAATACAAGGGTAGAGCTTCATTCTCATGATTTACCTCCTCGATATGAATTCGGGAATCCGATATCTCCCGAAGCTTACGGATGCAATAAAGGGCCTATTTATCACATCAATGGCGTAGAAAGATAGGACACGTCTTTAGGATAGTTTTAAAAGGGGTTACGATTCGAGGAAATAGTTACTTCTAACGGACATACTAGTCTTTCACGAGCATGGTATTCTCTGCTGGGCTGAAATGATTTGGCAGAGGAACTCACAGATCGGTTTGGAGTTTAGCATGGAAGATTGAGGGGGACTCGATGGAGTATACCCTCCTATCAGCGGTCTTCGTCAAAATATTCCATGGGTCCTAAATTGATACAACCAATTTGGCTGGTTCTATGTTGGGGGCGGGGGTTTTGGTTATGCACTGCAGGAATGCCAACATATTCCTCAGTTAGTCAATGAGCTACGACTTAGGGTAGGGGGGCTATGGAATGTACATAGAAACGATCTCATGAGAATTGAATCGAGAAAGCTCTCCAAACAATTACAGAAGCCCTTACTCATGTCGTGTTACGCAAACCTACCTAGGTTATCCATACCGCTTTTTGATCAGTAGATATGCTCTAGCCCAACTCTTGCTTTGGTCGCTTGCTCTACTGCTCTTGGGGCGTATCAATCCTTTCGGCGAGGCCCCCAAGGACAAATTGACTATTCACATCTGATTTCCGTTGGTATGACCGTGTGACACTTGACTATTTCGCTAGATCTGACTCAATCATAAGAGCAGCTGAATTGTTGCACCGCATACCGCTTACCTGCGCTCATATAGGTAGTCACGCTCTTATGTGCGTGCTGGAAACGAGTTACTGCAGGCCCATAAACGAGCTGACACGATACATTTGTTTGTAGTGGCTTTCCTCTGACCTCCTATCTTTGGTTATGGTGGCGTATATATCTGTGCGGACGCATACTTCCAGCTATTATATGTCATGCAAGTGACCAGAAAGGGGGAATTGGGCGTATGTCTAACTGGCACGAAGTAAATTAATTATGGATATCCCACGATCTCCTTTTCGCTCAGGTGGAGTAATAACAATATCTCCATTCTCGTTACACGGGTAGTCCAGATTTGGCCTTCAATAATGATCGTGTTTTCTCCGACTGGAGTTATCAAGGTTCTTAGGGTTGTAGCCCACCATGGGACAGTAGCATGCGCTAAGTTCATGTGCGAGAAGTCTAGACAATATATGATTTAGTACTTCTATACAGGCTTAAGGGGTTATGCGTACCTGTCTTTACGCCAACAAAAAATTTATACAATAAGAATCCTGGGAGAAATTCGCACGGAAATCCAAGAGCCAAAAGGCTGAAGAATAGAGAAACGTCGTTGATAGGTAACCCAAGAATTGTGTATTCAGTTTCGAGATGCTTTGTTTATATTATGTCATAAATCTAGGCTCTGTGATTACGACTCTGACAAGATATCGTAAAAGGTACCTACGTAAAGAAATTGACTTATGTATAATTTTGCTTTGTAGGTGCTTAACTCAAATTGTAAAGTTATGTATTTTATAATGCACATTATTCTCTCATTACAACAACATTGTTGTTTTCTGCTCTTACATTCACCTTTCATATCGACAATGCAGGATATTCTTTTTAGATGATATACTCAGAGCGACCTCGGCATGATAACTTACTATGTTGTTAGATTCACAAGAGTTTCTTAGTCACATCGTAATATTCAGTCGCCGGTAGTATTCGATAAATCCTATTTTGCTCTTAGACACAAGTTATAGGCTCGGAAAACTTACTATTTGCTATTTGAATCGGGTCCAACTCCGTTAGATAAGAACGAGTACCTGGTATGTACCTAGGTAGTAATATGCGTTGCGTACGTGTTTCGAGTCCTGTTATTATATTCAACAAACACAAATATCAAGAAATCAGGTCAACAACAGTCGGGGCAATTATGCTTGAGGAATAGAGAAAAGAAAATCATCACGAATATGAATTATCGATACACAACTTCCCCGGGAAACCTTTATCATGAATGGACTAGGCTGGGGGTTGTACTCACAGAAATTGTCAAACCATTAGGTGATCGATCAATTAGACATTGTACGATCTAGGAACTAAAATATTCGTATTCGTCCTCGAATTGTAAACAATTCTAGAATACTATGCCGGCGTTAAACGATCTAACAACAGGTAGTCAGTATATCTAGATGCGTCTACCATGGCACTTACGGAGCCTATGGACGAAAGGCAGTCCCTGGTATGGTTAGTATCGAAGGTGCTCCCTGAACCTGGGCAGCTTTTCTTTTTGAGTATTTTGGAATTCTAGAATCGAACCTTTCTTGATCTCTAGTGATACAGGTAACTGAAGCTGAGATCTAGGCCAACCTGGGGACTCTGAAGGGTATCTTCCCCAAATCAGTAATTGGGGGTTGAAACCGTTCGGGATGCTTCGTTCTTCAGTTGTCATAGCCCGGGTAACATTTTTTGTTATGTCATGGTTCTCGTAAATCAAATAGATATGACCGTGGAGGTTGCATGTGTCCGGACCCGATCCCATTCGCAAGGTAACGTGGTAATCGTCAGGGCATGTTACGCGTTTATTATCATTCCATGAGACGGTGGTTGTAGGATGGGCATCAGACCTAGATATCAAGTTAATAATTTGCTATTTACATAACTAATACAGCAGTTAGGGGCATAACTTACGCTAACCATGCGTAGCTTAAGCCGCATTCAGTGGTAGTCTGTCTAACTACGTCCTCAATTGCTCGTAGCTTTTCTTCCTTTCTCCATTTCGCGGGATTCGGATGAGCCCAGATGATCTAAAAATAAGTATCAGCTATTAATTACGTGAATTAACGTGACGATATGGATTGTTGTAACTTACTACTGGATCTTCTATAGTTCCAGAGCCACTCTTTCGTTCTGACATACCGATCCTATCTGCAAAATTCCTATCATGCGGTGCTCCTGGGCCGAGCATCATGCCCTTTTCCCAGATTATACTCGGGGGGCCATTGGATGTTGGTGCGAGCATCTCTAATCTCTGTAGATTGTCTGTGGTTTATCTGAATTATCTGCGGTTTATTTGAATTGTCTGAAGTTTCTCTGAATTGTAGCCGTAGTAATGTGAATTGTATTGCCATCTCATTAATCAGAGAGCTCCAGCTGAAGATTTTAAGTATTCATAATTGTACAAAGGGTACGTAACAAGCAACGAACAGTAATCGAACAATATAGAGACCATCACGAGGCTCTTTCAGTACAATCATTCGGTTTTATTGTTTTCCCAAGTTGAAAAGGTATTGTACTGCTGCTAATTATCTCCATTAGTTCACCAAAACTGGCCTCAGTTGTAAACAAACGTTGATAGTATTACAATATGCATGACATGTACTCCATCATGACTCCCTATTCTCAAACTCTGCTTCAAGGAGCTAGATATTTTATTCGTAACTAGTGTAAATCCCCCTTTTGTTAGGTAAAATTTAGAAAGCTACAATAAGCCCTGCGAGGCTAATAAATGGAGTTTATCATACACTTTTCCAGGAGCTAGCTGGAATTCAGCCTCCTGGGTAGCCAATCACCATTGTCACATTCACAGATATAAACACTCGACTCAGTATTACTGATATAGGACATCTGTTGGTTGCTAGCTATCGTGGCATCACGGGTTACTGGTGAGAGCTTGAGCTAATGGGTCTTGCGATGTCCCGTACTAACTATAACACACTATACATTAATTTGAGTAAATGAGGTTTGATCATCGTTTAATCACCGTTGTTGCTGTTACTATGGTAATAATGAGGTTATTGATCGAAACTAGACAACACTTTGAGTCAGGTCCTACTAACAGTATAAGGACAGCTTCCTGGCTCACCATAATATCATCATCAGTAATTCTAGCTTTCAATTTTGGTCTCGTGTTAATTGTGCTACTAGAACAATTTCCATAATGAATAATAGGAGCAAGAGCTTCATAAGTGTCTCTAATCAATGTAAAATGAAATTTTAGCTATCAACTCTTTATAAGGTAGGTAGGTATTTTATGGTAAAACATATATATTATAAACATCTTCAAACATCGCTAAATTCTATGCCCTCTTAAACTGTTATGAAAACTGAAAACAATCTCCTTATGGACTCAAAAAGTATCCTTAATTTTACTCGTTGTCGTAATTACCTGTGTGCAGCGCCTTCTCGGTGCAAATAAATAATGGCCAGCACTAGCAACACTAGCAACACTTGTGCTAGTAATTCATTTAATTTACCATCACCAAGTTCCTAATTCATTGTATCCTTAGCTAACCCATTAAGTAGAATCCATGTAGCTACAGCTGCAAAGACGAACATTGACGACACTGCCGCACTCGTGAACCTTGTTGTAAAATCCACTGAATCTGTACCAGCTTTTCCCTTGCGCATTTTCCCAACCCAAGGATGTGACATGACTGTATCAATACCAATACGTTCTTCCGGGTTATATTTTAGCATCTTCCTTAGGAGGTCGGCTAAGCCTAACACATCTTCTTTGGGATATCGATACTTGATAGCTTCCGTTTTCGCAGCTGTAAGCAAATTGAGATACCTGGTTTGCTCACGTCCAAGTACTGCTTCGAATATATCTGAATAACCAGATCCTTCAATCAAACATGCCCTGTCCTCCGCGAATTCATCCAGCTTCGGGGTGTCGGGTTGCGGTTCGTTTTCAATTGTGGAATCTTTTATATCCAGTTGAGTTTTAGGTCCGCCAATATTAGGTGGTAGCGGCCCCAAGAATAACTCGAATCTGTTAATCGCATCACCGAACCCACCACTAATCACATCCGCAAACAACGGTGAACCTGTCCTAACTTCGAATAAGGTACATGCCAATGACCATATGTCACTATGGGATCCTAAGGTCCCATAACCTCGAAGCAGGACTTCAGGGGCTGCATATATTTCCGGAATGCCGGTTGATATAGGGGGGGTTGCCGTAAAGAATGATTCTCCGAAATCGATGATTGCGATAGACTTCATCGTTAAAGTCTCACACCAGAATTCGCTTGCAGATGTAACGCAATATTCTGGGGCTCTAGGTGTTAGAGGCTGGCCAGACACGGTCTCAACATTGTAACATTCCGGCTCTCCCATAAGACCTAGAATTTCATCCCGATCTAGATCATCAATACCTTCAACTTCCATGAGGATATTGGCTGGTCTGAAGTCTCCGTGACATATTCCGTGGCTATGGAGAAAACGCATGGAATCAACGATCTGTCCACATACGTCTCTTGTGTCATCATGAGTCTGTTCTTCGTAGTCCTTTTTCGGCATACGCCAGTTCTCAACTGTCGAGCCAAGAACAGGCATTACGAGACATGAATGACGGCCATTAGGACCCACGATCGAGAATTGTTCTAAAGGTAGTAGTATGTGATTTTTCCTGAGTTCTGCCGGAGAACAATGATCTCTTAGATAGCTGAATATTTTTTCTTCCGTGCCTTTAGCAGAGTGGTCAGCAGTAATTATCTTAACCGCCCTCCACTTGTCTAGCAAGGTATCGCGACAGAGCCAAACGATTCCAAAACCGCCACTGCCGAGCTTGTGAACAACTTCGAAACGACCATCAAGGATATCGCCAATGTGGACTGGATGATATCCACCCTTGTTGTACATCTGAACATCTTCAGTATTTGCCAAGTAATAGAAAGGCGTGTACTGGATTACTTCGTCGCTAAGTGTCGCATCGAGTCTAATGGACATGGTCGCCTTCTCGGCAGGGTAGGCTGTGGCTGTCGGGGAAAGGATTTCCATAGTGCGAGATGTAGTATGAAGATTGCGTAGTTCTCTGTTCTGAGATATGAATTTTTTGATGAAAGGAGAGGATTCGAAGCGACAAGTCGGGTGAGTTATATGGTAATTGAGGCAATGTCGAACAGTGATGTTGTTGTTATTATTGTTATTGAAAAAGATGTGTGATGAAGGAACCACTAGTCTCGGGAAGGAATTGCCTTTGTATTTATGGTAGAAGCTGAAAGGTAGATGGACAATGTGTGACAAAGATTTAGAGTTGTTACAACGCGATTGTTTGAAATAGTTTGACACAAATCTCCACATATTTATGGTGTTGGTAGATCAGGTACCTTAGGTGTGTAGTGAACTGCTTGTTCTAAGGCTATTTTTGGTGTACCTTACAAGTAGGTAGACAGGTACCTAAGTACCTAACCTACATAATTAAACAAACACGCCTAAAACTATTCTCAATTATAGATAAATGCACTGTGCATATATTTCTATAAATGCAACTCTCAGGTCACGTACCTTAGGTACTTAGGTACGTAAATAAAGTTGAAAACATCGCCATATATGTAGATTAAAGCTCTAATAATAAGCGTATCTACGTGAGTACCAGTCAATATCATTTAGTCATAGACAAAGCCCCTATCATGGAAATAGGAGGTAAGCACTTAGTCATACCAAAGTGCTATGAAATTTGTTGTAACAGGAAACGGGCTTCATCATTTACGCTAACGAATAAATAATTGCCCGTGTAATAGCCCATCATATTTAATAACTTGTCATTTTAATTATAAGATATGGAAAGTTCTGAAATCTTGACAGTCAAAAAATGTGCCATGATGCTAAAGGTGTATAGAGCTAACCTCCGCTGTGCTGAAGTTGATGCTGATTGGCTGAAATTGATCTGTGCAACTTGAATGTATCAAGCTCCCCTTTTCCATTTTATATTTTAACTTAAATGGCCCAAACATACCCCGACAATCATATCTCTGACTCTTACTACCGTAGTAGTTACAGCATCTTCAAGTCTCGATTGAATATGAGTCCGAATACCATATTTTTAAGAGTACTCATTTTTAGTAACTATCTGCTTTTGATGTTAATGGTAGTCTAACTATGACACTTGAAAGTTAAGTGATGGATGATTATTCTCCATAGTGTCTGCTAAACATCCTTCGGGTCGAGATATCATTGCCTGAATATAAACACTATCACGGATATATTGGTTTAATCGTTGAAGTTAAACGTACTAAAATCAAGGCTACGAGGTTAAAGGTAACATAACACTGTTATCCCTATAATCGGTTGGAGATTGAGGGCTCTGGGTGATAGTAATGGAGTAAGATATGTTTTATGATACAGCAACCATAAATCGTGGGTAGCAGAATGCAACCTATTTTCTTTTAACACGATAAACTCAAAGATAATAATTAACACACTCTATGCGAATCTACCAAATCATACGTTGTGTGTCCTGGTAGATAATCTACCCAATACTACCGTATAGAATAAGTTCTTTGTCGATCATTTATTTCAAAATTGAATCTGAACTTTGACCTAAGTATACTTGTCTTTGAACTTCTAGAACACATGACGCTCACTAGCGCATCTACATTTACCTATTGTTCAAAAGGTGTAGGTTAGTCCCGAATTCCGAATTAGTCTCGTAAGCTGCCTAGACTTGCCAAGTAGGTATTGAGGCTATGTGTAGCTATATATAAACCTTCGGACAGATAAAGAATAAAGAGTGCTTAGTGACGTAGAAATAGGCGGAAGACCCACCTAATAAGCTTATATACCCCGTCTTACACGTTTATAGCTGATGTGGAGAACATACAATGAAGTTTTTAAGTGCCGTCGATCTTATAAAAGATAGTCGCTAGGCGAACTCCTAAAGGAACACATGCTAGAAACATGCTTTGTGGTGACCTCATGTGACCAATATGACTGCCTACCAGCTTTCTATGATGTATAGTATATTCTAACTTTATCATAGACTAATAGGCTTGTGTAAACTAAGTCATAGCCTCGTCCTGGTATCTGTGCCATAATTTTGTTCTTGCTTTAGTCTTTAGAATTGTTTCTGCCTGAGAAGGAGCATTTAAACCGCATAGTTTATTGCGTAAATATTAGGGTAGGTACTGAGCATTCTGGCTTATATCATAGTTGGTCCTATTCTTATAGCTTGTGCTGATTAGGAATCTATGAGTGGCTATACCGTGTAGATGAGGTATCGATGAGGTGTAGGGAAAGAGGATACAGGGAAAGTTGTGTATACTGGAGTTTAGAACTTGAGATGAATGATTAACTCTCATCCTAAAATTGCGCCTGAGGATCTAAACTAGAAGTTACTCGACGAGAATCGCGCATTCTCACTTTCCCTTTCCCCGAATGCTCCTCAGACCTCACCTACCTAATCTTCATTAGCTTGCCACATCAAGCGATTCTCTATTATACACAACGTCTCATTGTCCCTACCTATATGTCTGTTTGCTCCGGGGCAACTAGAAAATTGTGATGACTTGGTGACCTGCATTGTGTTACACTATTTAGCTCTTCTGACCTTGTATTAAGGGAGATTGGACAATGCAAATAGGAAATGACTATTCCCGAAATATAATCGTAGCCTTCCATCGACGTTTGAATATGGGAAGTGTGTCAGCTCAAACCGGTAGTATAACCGATTACCGAAGCTTCAAGTAGCCTATAGCCTTGTCAAGTTTTCAATAGGACTATCCTTAAGCATCGAACGGTGGCCACACCGCGAATAACCGAATAGCCGCATACTCTCCGAGGTATTTACTGAACAAACCGCAACGCCAGCATGAAACGTTGACTCGAGAGTGGACTAAAGGAAGGGAAAACAAGCATGGTATTCACATATGAGCTAACAAGAAGCTGACAAGGCTTCTTTGGGGCTTCATGGCTTACATACCCCAACGCGGGGTTGCCACGCGACTTTGCATGCCTCATGACCGATAGCAAATAAAAGTCGACGACGCTAAATGGGATGACTTGGCAAGAGATGCTAGATGCAAGATGCATGTCATCTTGGATGTCTAGGATGCGCAACCAAAAAAAAAAAAAAAAGAAGCCTAACGAACTTGCGCAGGAGTGTGACCTACAGGGCTCAGATGCAGGATCCGGATTACTGGCACCTACTAACTATGGTTCGACTAATATAGTTGCACTGCTCCGGCGTAACAAGTTTGCCCGGCACGACCGGCATTAATTTGTTGTGAAAGTAGGACAACGTAAATGCGGTGCGATAGTGATATAGTAGTTAAATGATAGTTCCGGATAGCACATAGACTATCACCAAAAGCGCGTACATGATAGTAGGTGAAGAAGTCGTGCAACGTTGGCGTATGCGCCGGTTCGCCTTGTTGTCCGAATTTCGCCCGTTTCGCTGATATTCTCAAACAGATCCAGGCTGGCGGGTCGCATGGGGAATATGGATATGAGGTAGAAACGAAACCAAAACCTTACCAATATATGCAGTAATATTGTTTTTTCATAACTGTCATATTGGGTAGGTGTTTACTTGGTAAAGTACGAGTTTATACCTCATCCCAAAGATATCCCAGAACTTTAGCCCAAAGTTTAACCTAATTAGGCTAGGTATATAGAATTATTATATTTAGATTTTAAATTTAAATAATTTTAGGTTTAATTTTTAAAAAAATCAATATTTAATAATTTTGGATTTAAATTTTAAATTTAAAAATTTTAAAAAATAAAAAAAGAGGAGAAGAAGGAGGAAGGTAAGAAAGGGAGGGGAAGGAAGGAATGTAAGGAATGATATTAAAAAAAAGGGGGGGAAGGAAGAAGCGGGGAGGGAGAGGAGGAAAAGAGGGAGGGGGAGGGAGGGGAGAGGAGGGGAGGGGGGGAGGAGGAGAGGAGGAGGAAGAAGGAAGGGGAAAGGAAGGAAGAAGAGGAGAAGAAAGAGGGAGGAGGAAGAGGAGGAGAAGAGAGAAAGAGAGAAAAGAAGAGGAAGGAGGGGGAAGGGGGAAAGAGGAAGAAAGGGGAAAAGGGAAAAAGAAAAGAAGGAAGGGAAAGGAAAAAGGGAAAGGAGAAGAAGAGAGGGAAAAAGAAAAAGGAGGGAGGAGGAAGGAGGGGGAAGGAAAGGGAAGGAAGGTAGAAAGGAAAGGAGGAGGAGGAGAAGGGAAAGAGGAAAGGGAAGAAAGGAAGGAAGATAGGAAGGGGAGGAGGGGAAAAGGGAGAGGAGAAGAGGGAGAGAGAGGAAAACGGGGAGGGGAAGGGGGAGGGGAGGAAAGGAGGGGAGAAGAAAGAAAAAAGGGGAGGTGAGGGAGAGAAAGGGGAAAAAAAAAGAAAGGAAAAAGGGAGAGGAAAGGGAAGAGAGGGAGGGAAGGAGGAAGGAAGGGAAAAGGAAGGAGAAGGAAGGGGAAAGGAAAGGGGAGAAAAGGAAAAGGAAGGGCGCAGAGAAAAAACCACCGGGAGAGAGGGAAAGAAGAGAGGGAGAAAAAAAAGAGAAGGGAAAGAGAGGAAAAGGAAAAGAAGAAAAGAAGAGGGAAAAGGGGGAAAGAGAGGAGAGGGAAAAAGAGGAAAAAAGGAGAAGGGGAGGAAAAAAGAGGGGAAAAGGAAAGGAAAAAAGAAGGAAGAAGGAGGGAGAGAGGAAAAAAAGGAGATAGAAAGGAGGGAGGAGAGGAGGAAGGAGAAAGGAAGGAGGAAGAAGGAGAAGGAGAGAGAGGGAGAGGAGGGAAGAAGAGAAAAGAGGGGAGGAAAGGGGAGAGAGGAAAGGAGAAAGGGGAAAGAAGGAAAGGAGAAAAGGAAGGAAGGAAGGAGGAGGGAAGGAGGAAGAAGGAGGAAGGAAGGAGAGGAAAGAAGAGGAAAAGAAAGAAAGTAGGGGGGGAAGAGAGGAAAGAAAAGGAAACGGAAAAAGAGAGAGGAGAGGAGAGGAAGGGGGAAGAAAGGAAGGAGAAAGGAAAGAAGGAGGAGGAAGAAGGAAAGAGAGAAAAGAGAAGAAAAGAGAGGAAAGAAAAAGGAGAGAAGAG